AAGCAGCCCCGCCCGTTGGAAAGAGTGTGGGATATACCACTACTAGGAATGGGAGGGGGGGACTAAATCTTTTAAGATTTAAATAGCACATTATTGCACGATTATAATGAGCACCGCTTACATTGTGCTTTTAATAAATACTACTGCATTGTTAAAAAATTATTAATTGTGTCTCAAATTATTCTAGGGGGGGTACAGCTTTATTGAAGGGGGAGTCATGTCCCCCCTGTCCCCCCCGGGATTTCTGCCCCTGATGGAATGCAGTGCCTCATGATGATGTGCCAGAAAAATCCTGTACATCTGAGATGGGATGGGATAGGACACACATATGGTGCAATAGTGGAAACTTCTATTTGTTACACTTGAAAACATCATGGGGAATTGGTACTGATTGTTTAATGGGCCCAGGTAGGAATTTTCACTGGTACCACCCAAGGTGTGAAATTCTAGTTGTGTGTCATGAAAAGGTCTATCTCAAGATGATATTTCAACATTAACCCTTCCAAAGTGGCAGCTTGTTCGCCGACATTAACCTTCAGTGACCCCAACCAATAAACCAAAGAATGAAAAAGCCAAGACATGTTTCAAGTTTGGTCTCATGTAAGTTCTCAGTCTGAGTGCTGATATGCTTCATGGTTTTCACTGACAAACAAATTTGTATGTGCAGAAAACTGAATGATAATATGCTTTTTAACCAAATTTTATTGACTGTTTTAATTAAAAAAAGATAATTGTTGTATAAAGGTACCCCCTGAGTGCACATGTACATTCAGAACAGGTCATATCTGATGGTTATATGGGAAAGAACATCCTAAAAAGCTGATGTTTAGATATATATCATGTTCTGAAGTCGAGAAATGCACTTCTTTGTGTGATGCTCTGATATAATAACCTCAAATTTCGAGCCCTGAATTTACCTTGATCCACTGAGTGAGTATTGGTATACTTTTAATATGTTATTTGGATGTCCCAAGAGATCACAAAAAATCTTGAATGATTCCTATTGCAGTTTTCCCTGGGTCAAACCACAGACTGACTGGACTACAAGCAAAATTACTTCACATTTTAAAAACCATGTCTTCTTTGTACACTGTAGGACATTTCTCATGTGTTAGCGAGCATTTTCAAACACCTTTACACAAGAGACGTCATCGGGAAAGACACTTCGTCCAACTTCTTCAAGACAAAGAATGGACGAAGCAGCTACCATGACAGATATGTTGAGGAGCTTCAACAGGTGACCCAACAGCACTGTTACTAACACTGAAAACTGTGCTAGAAGAAATATTACAGTAATACATATCTTTAATGTTATTATGTTTTTTTCTCAATCACATAGGCTCATTCTGAATACAGCCGGTGTATAAAAGAGGCTGACATGCTGGAAGCTCATTTAATTGAGGCCAGAGCTCGGGCTGCAGACACAGAAGGCCAGGCATTATCATGACTTGATATAATATGATATACTGCTGTACAGATGTATACTGTAATTTATCTCTACATACAGAGATGTTATTTGATGTTACGTCTTCTGCCTGTTTGCAGTCGAATTAGCCTTTTCCTGGTGTGAGGACAGCTACCTTCTCCAAATGAACAACCTGATTTCCCCTCAGGACTACCTACCTTCACAAAAACCACGTGTGAAAGCACCAGCACCGAGTACGTAACCCCCTTTTGGATTCATCGTGAATTATTAATGACCCAAGTGTTCTGCCTCAGCATTTTCACATGTCCTTTTCTTGTCAGTAAAATTGAATCCTGGCAGACCCACCATCGCCTACGCTTTGCACGTGTCCAGGGAGCCTCAGGATGATGGTTATGGTCTAATGCCCAGCCCTGAAAAGATAATCCCCGAAATGAATGAGTCAGATCGCAGCCTGACGTTTAAATCCAGCTCAGATACCCCAAAGAGGAAGAAAACCCCCAAGGAGGTGAGGAGTCAGTCGTCTACACCCCCTCGATTAGACAGAGCTATCAAGAGTAACACATTTTATAAGAATAGATTTTAATACATATAATTGAAAGGAGATAATCAACTGATGCAGAAAACTAATTGGAAAAAAAGGACAACAGGAAGAAAACAGGATATAAAAAGAGTGTTATTAAAAGGCGTTCCTTTGAGTTTTGAAAACTGATGTAAATGATGATCCTGATCTGGCAAGCCAAAGCTCCTCTGGAAAGGAGGGAGACTTGATTACATCAGCGCACTATAAATACATTTCAGACGCGGAACCAGACCAAACCCAGACCAAAGTGGAAGGATGAGCTGAGCGCAAAGGATCGGGCAGAGGGATGGGAACAACTTCAGAGGCTTAAAGATCGACACAGCTTCCTACGCAATCCTCGCTTCCTTCCTCCAAGTGCGCAGCAGGGTGGCACATCCCTCATCCAGCCCAGAGCCAAAGCGGGGAAGACAGGGCATGTGAGGAGAGGGATGGAGGAGCACAGGTACCTGAGCCCTTGCCATCATCACATCATAATGAAAGCTTGTCAAAGGGTAGGAAATATAAAAAGGCAGGATATTGATATAGTGGGTTGCATATGAAAATCTTGTATGGGTTGATGAAACACAACAGGCTTTGGTCAGACTATCTGGCTTCAATATTAAGTGCAAACACAAGTGCCTCTTACCTTAGTGCAGAAAGCAGTGCACCTTGTGTGCCAAAGCACAGACCTGACACTTGATATTCCTGGCATTATGTAGTGTATCCTACAGTGCATCTGCCAGGCTGTGTTCCTTGTTCTTATCTTACTATATAATGAAAACTCTGTCTGTCTGTGGGTGTGTGTGTCTGTCTGTTCCACGTTTTTCTCCTCACTGACTTGGTCAATCCATGTGAAATTTGGCACAGTGGTAGAGGGTCATGGGAGGATGCGAATGAAGCAAT